GGTCAAAATCGGGTAGGTGAAGAACCGGTGCGCATGTCACCGCCTTCTTGAGGGCGCGGAAGGCGTCCTCGTGGAGGGGTGTCCAAGCCCAGGGTGGGTTCTTCCGGAGGAGGGTGGAGGTAAGGACGTAGGAATACCTAGCGTATCCCAGGATGAAGTTACTATAGTAGCTGGTCAGKCCTAGGAAGCTGCGAAGCTGCTTGGCGGATGCGGGAGCGCGCCACTCCGCAATAGCAGTGATCTTCGCGTCGTCCATGTGGAGACCCTGGTCAGACACATAGTGTCCTAAGAAATCCACTTTGTGCTGGGCAAAGCGGCACTTGCTTAGCTTGGCGTAGAAGCCATGTCTGCGCAAGTGGTCAGGGACGTCGCGGAGGTGTCTGAGGTGCTCCTCAAGGGTACGAATATAGACCAGGATATCGTCGAGGTAGACGAGAACGTACTGCTCAAGGATGTCCCTGAAGATGTCGTTCATCGCCCTCTGGAAGGTAGCGGGCGCGTTGGTGAGGCCGAATGGCATCACCGTGAACTCGTGGTGGCCGAATCGCGATCGGAACGCGGTCTTCGGCTGGTCGGCTGCAGCGACGAGGATCTGATGGTAACCGCTACGAAGATCAATCTTCGTAAAGAAGCGGTTGCCTGCTAGGCGGTCGAACAGCTCATCGGAACGAGGCATGGKGTAGCTGTTCTTAACCGTGTAGCGGTTGAGGCCGCGGTAGTCAATGCAGAGACGAAGAGTTTCATCCGCTTTGCGAGCAAAGAGGACGGGTGCACCCCACGAGGAGTTGCTGGGTTTAATGAAACCCAGTCTCAGGAGCTCCTCAAGCTGACGCTTGAGTTCGATGGCCTCGGGGATCGAGAGTCTGTAGGGTGCCTGGCGGTGAACACGATAGTCAGGCACGAGCTGAATGGAGTGCTCGACGTCACGCATCGGTGGGATGCCGACGTACGAGAACGACGATGGGAAAACGTTGTGGTACTCTCGGATGAGGTCACGAACTGCGGGCTCCAAGTCAGCCGTATCGTGCGAGTTCCTCAGCGTCAGCGTCAGCGCGCGATGGCAGGGTGGACTCGACGGACGGCGGAGGGACGGAAGTAGAGATGGGAGCCATGGAGATAGAGGGAGGATCTGACTCCAGAGGGATGAGCTCAGCGTCGGGACAAAGTTCGACGGACGACTTGTACGTTAGTATCACTGCGCGTCCCACCAGCTCTCCTAGCCCCGTCTTGCTCGGACTTTTTTTTTTTTTTTTCTCCACTTAGTGGGTTACTACGTTGCATAGAGTACACGTACGGGGTCTTCCCGTACGAAACGTACAGGTTATTTCTGTACGGGATCTGTACGGGAACCTGTACGGGAACCTGTACGTCTTGTACGCCCCCGTACGAAGAAAAAAAAAAAAA